CTCTCTCTCTCTCTCTCTCTCTCTCTCTCTCTCTCTTCTCTCTCTCTCTCTCTCTCTCTCTCTCTCTCTCTCTCTCTCTCTCTCTCTCTCTCTCTCTCTCTCTCTCTCTCTCTCTCTCTCTCTCTCTCTCTCTCTCTCTCTCTCTCTCTCTCTCTCTCTCTCTCTCTCTCTCTCTCTCTCTCTCTCTCTCTCTCTCTCTCTCTCTCTCTCTCTCTCTCTCTCTCTCTCTCTCTCTCTCTCTCTCTCTCTCTCTCTCTCTCTCTCTCTCTCTTTCTAATTTATAAAGACAAATGTTGAAATAAAAACTAAAAGAATATCTAATCCGTAGCATATAACCTGTTTATTGTGTGGAGTAACTTTATCCATTTAGAATTAAAGCGAATTTGGAAAGACTTGATTAAACCAAACAATAAGAATTCACAAATGACAATAAACCTGTCGATACTCAGCCCAAAAGCAAAGGAATATAATCTAGAAATATGTTTTTTGACAAGGGCTTCGCATATAAAAAGGCAGATAGTAAAATCAAATGGTAATCAATAATGGATATGGTAATATAGCTATATAGCAACATACACATTAGGAGGTAATATAACGTACAGTATAAAAGTATTCTGTATGATACAATAGAGTATACAGTCAAATTAGAAGACTATTTAAAGCAATGCCTTATATAGTGATACATTATATTGTTTGAAGCAATATTAGCATACTGCATGAATGAAAACAGTACATAGCCACGTAGTATACTTATTATAAAGAAATATAACATAATAGTCATGTAGTATACTGTATAAACTAATATAAACACAGACATGAACAATACTACATCTACTAACATAGCCTATACTTACTTAGCTCACACCGTTTACAAAAACAGTGAAGGCTAAGCATTCTAAACGGCCTGCCTTCCCCCGTTGCAAGAACAATGATCTGCAACCCCCCCCTACTCCATTGAACGGCGACCTACCCTCCCATTGCAAGAACGGCGCCTACCACCTCCCCATTGCAAGAACACCGACACCCCCCACCCCCCATTGCAAGAACACCCCCCTTTGCAAGAACCCCCACCGCCCTTTGCAAGAACCTCCATCCCCTATTGCAAGGACACCCCCATTGCAAGAACACCGACATCCCCACCCCCCCCCCCTTTGCAAGAACACCCCCCTTTGCAAGACCCCCCCTTTGCAAGACCCCCCCCCCCCTTGCAAGAGCGGCCCAGAGCGTGCCACGACCCCCTCCAGCACCAGCTACGTGCTCCTCCGCCTCGCTTAGGGATTGCCCTGACCTTCTCTCTCGCGCTGCGTTGCCACATCCTCCTTCCTTCCTTCTTCTCCTTTCTCCTTTCTCCCCCTCTTTCTCCTTCTCTTTTCTCTTTCTCCTGCCTTCTTCTCCTTTCTCGTCCTTCTTCCTTTCTCTCCTTTCTCATTTCTCGTCCTTCTTCTTTTTTTCCTCCTTCCTTCCTTCCTTCCTTCTCCTCCTCCTTCTCTTTCTCCTTTCTCGTTCCTTCTTCCCTCTTCTCCTTTCTCCTCCTTCCTTCTTTCCTTCTCCTTCTCCTCCTCCTTCCTTCCTTCTCCTTTCTCCTCTTCTTTCTTTCTTTTCTCGTTTTTATTTCTCGTTTTGTTTGTGTTTTGGGAAGTGGAAGGGGAGGTGGGGAAAGAGGAAGGAGTGCTTGTGTTTGTTTGTTTGTTTTTTGTGTGTTATTTTCTCTTCGCTTATTCTGTCAGTTGTCCTAATTTCGAGTCTTTGTTTTCTCTCTTCTTTCTCTCTCTCCCTCCCTCCCTCCCTCTCTCTCTCTCTCTCTCTCTCTCTCTCTCTCTCTCTCTCTCTCTCTCTCTCTCTCTCTCTCTCTCTCTCTCTCTCTCTCTCTCTCTCTCTCTCTCTCTCTCTCTCTCTCTCCCTCTCTCTTTCTCCTTTTCATCCCAACTTGACCTCTTTTCTACCGTGTTCCTCGTGACGTCACTGCCTTCTTTAATTATTCCCAAGTTTATTTATGTTCGGTTTCTCCGTTTTCTTGTTGCCTTCTCTCCGTGCACCTCCTTCCTCTGCAGAATCCTACCCCTTTCGGTGCCTCCTCCTCTTTCTCTCTCTCTCTCTCTCTCTCTCTCTCTCTCTCTCTCTCTCTCTCTCTCTCTCTCTCTCTCTCTTTCTCTCTCTCTCTCTCTCTCTCTCTCTCTCTCTCTCTCTCTCTCTGTCTCTCTCTCTCTCTCTCTCTCTTTCTCTCGCTCCCTCCCTTTCTCCCTCTCCCCCCCTCTCTCTATCTATCTATCTATCTAGCTATATATATAACTATCTATCTCTATCACTGACGCTCTCTGTCTGTCCATCTGTCTTTCATTATCATTCTTTCCAACTCCTACTCCTCCTTCGTCTTAATCCTCCTCTCCCTTCCTTCTTTTCCTCCTCGCCTTAAAGATAGCTCGACAGACCGACAGCAAGAGAGATAGACTTAGGCCGCAATTCACAACAACCATTGTTTTTATCATCTTTATCACAACTTTCACAAGTGCCGATAATCGCGTGGGAATCAAATGAAGAACGGAGGCTGGAACAATCACAAGAACAAGAATAGCGAAGAACACACATAAAAAGAATAATAACAGTGAGAGAACAAAGCATTTCTGGAAAAGATTCACTTCCTTCGTGATCTTCCCAAATGTCATAAAAAGGGAGAGATATTTCTGACTTTTTTTTTGTCATTTCTTTATTGTCTGATTGATCTTTTGTTAGAGCGAAAGGGTCGGGAGAAGTAGGAAGGAGGCAACGGAGGAGGAGGAAGAAGTTAGGAGGAGGGGGGACAAGGAGAATAAAAGGAAGAGAAGGAGGAGGAGGAGGAGGAAGAGGTTAGGAGGGAGGAGGAGGAGGAGGAGAAGAAGAAGGAAGAGAAGAAGGAGGAAGAGGAGGAGGAAGAGAAGAAGAAGGAGGAGGAGGAAGAAGTTAGGAGGAGGGGGGACAAGGAGAATAAAAGGAAGAGAAGGAGGAGGAGGAGGAGGAAGAGGTTAGGAGGGAGGAGGAGGAGGAGGAGAAGAAGAAGGAAGAGAAGAAGGAGGAAGAGGAGGAGGAAGAGAAGAAGAAGGAGGAGGAGGAAGAAGAGACGGAGGAGAAGGAGGAGGAAGAGGAGGAGGAAGAGAAGAAGAAGGAGGAGGAGGAAGAAGTTAGGAGGAGGGGGGACAAGGAGAATAAAAGGAAGAGAAGGAGGAGGAGGAGGAGGAAGAGGTTAGGAGGGAGGAGGAGGAGGAGGAGAAGAAGAAGGAAGAGAAGGTGGAGGAAGATGTGGAAGAGAAGAAGAAGGAGGAGGAGGAGGAAGAGACGGAGGAGAAGGAGGAGGAAGAAGAGGTTAAGAGGGAGGGGGGCGGGGAGGAGGAGGAGGAGCAAAGGAAGAAAGGGGAGGAGGCTACAAAATGGGCGCTACAAAGAGAAATGAGGATTGCAAAGAGCAGGATCGAAAGTGATTGCAAAGGGAAGGTAATTACAAAGAGAAATGGTCACTGCAAAGGCGTTTGCAAAGAGAAAGGAATGTTGCAAAGACGGAGGAAGCAGGAATGTCGTAAAAGAGGCCTAAAGGGGGGGGAAGTTGAAAGGTTTCAGTAGAGAAGAGGAAAGGGGTAAAAACAAGAGAGAGAGAGAGAGAGAGAGAGAGAGAGAGAGAGAGAGAGAGAGAGAGAGAGAGAGAGAGAGAGAGAGAGAGAGAGAGAGAGAGAGAGAGAGAGAGAGAGAGAGAGAGAGAGAGAGAGAGAGAGAGAGAGAGAGAGGGGGGGGGGGGAGAAGAGAGAATTCAACTGAATGCTAGATTGCATAGGATGCCTCCCAGTCCCGTTATAAATGTTGCCTCTATAAGATATTTAATCTTGTCCCGGAGATACCAATTACTATATTTTCTCCCAACGATGTAGTAGTGACATACTTTTTTCCCCGAAGAAAACGGATAGATTGCAACATCGATTTCAACATTTCAACATTAGGAAAAAAACACATCTTCTCTCCATCCCACGTTGGAATGATAAGAGGTCCCATCCATAAAAGGATATTTATTATTATTAAAAAAAGGAATCTATCGGTTATTGCTCAACGTTCTCTAAGAAAAGGTTTTGCGTGGAGAGCTGGTCCTAGCAAGTCGACATTTCATCACGTCTCTTCACTAAGCCGTCTCTCCTCTGCCAGTGGGCCGCTGACTAAGAAATATTCTCAGGAAAATGTGTTGCATGTACATACACAGTCGGGGATGTATAGGTGTCCTCATGCACGGTGGGTGTACATAGGTGTACATGGATGAGGATATATTAATGTCATACACATATATATATATGCATAAATATATATACACACACATGCATGTACATACATACATACATGCGCGAACAGACATACAGACACACACACACACACACACACACACACACACACACACACACACACACACACACACACACACACACACACACACACACACACAACACACACACACACACACACAACAAACAAACACACACACAAACGTACACATGCTGAAAAACGAACGTAAAGCATTTAAAAAAACAACGTTTAATCTCCTCTCTGGCTCGAGCATCAACGCGCCGGCATTTACCTTAGAAATGGAAAAAAAAGTGAGAAAGTACAAGCCCCTCGACCGAGATTCAAGAAGAGAGGAAATTGTTTCACTTCGAAAACCGCTTCCCATTTTTTGTAGACATGTTCGGTTTTATATTTTCTCTCGTGTTTTCGAAGCGAAATTAGTTTTATTGGATTTCTTTTTTAATAAATAATCACGGCGGACGAGAGGAGGGGAAAAGGGAGTGGAGATGATGCATAAAAACAAAGTGATAAGACAAATTGATGAGTCTCGCGTATGCTGGTCAGGTAGGCAGCGGGGGAAACGGAGTCGGTAGTGGCTGTGGGTGGGTGGGCGACGCGGGACTCCAGACTCCGTTTCCCCCGGGGAGTACACGAGGTCCATTCATTCCAACCTCCCATTGAAAAATTCAGTAGACTGTCGGAGCTCGGACAGAGTGGATGTGCTGCTCTGCGCTCTCGACCAACATTTGACTTGGTGTTTCGAAGTGGTGTGCGAGTACACAGTGTATGTTTTTCTGTTGAACTGGGGTGTGTAAGCACACCAAGTGTACCAAGACTATTTATCTACAATTCGTGAACAGACATGTGGAAAATGTCTTTATTTTGGTTAATCTTGGCTCTATCGGCACATTCTGGTAAGTGTGATGTAAATTTTTGTTTTATTATGGTGTAGTACATATTCGTGTAGTGTTCTCTTGCTTACAAACAGTTCTACGTGTTTGCGAACATGTTTTTAATGGCATTTGTTGCGTGTTAAAGTGTACCCACGCATTGGCCGAGGGACCATCCATCACAAGAAACTCAGCGAATCCGCATGAAAATTTCATCCAAATATTCAAATGCCCTTTCCGTCAATACAGCCCGTTCGTTATACGCGCGCTTGTAATAACGGCAATAATAAAAGCGTATTGCGTTACATCGATTCCTCGCCAAAAATGCTTTACGAGACGGCAATGCGCGCGTCAATTAACAGAATTGAAGAAAGGGATTATACCAGACGGCCATAATACGATTTGTATTATACGTTCGGCCGACCCGGTTTAATGGGCGGAGGATAAAATCAGTGCAACGTTGCGAAGGACAGCTGTTGCAAGAGGGTAGAAGGAGGGGGGGGGGAGAGGCGGGGCATGTCAGAGGCAACAGCAGGTAGACGGCGGCGCTGAAGTAGGTAGAGAGCAGAAGGCGAGCGGGCGAGAGGTAGACAGAGATACCTGAACGAGGTATTCGAGGGGACGTGGGGCGAAGGAGGAGGAGGAGGAGACGATAAGAGAGAGAAGATAGAAAGAAAGATAAAAAGAAGGATGAGGGATAGGAGAAGGGAGAGGGAGGGGAGGAAGACGGAAAGAAAGAAAAGAAGGAAGATGGATAGGAGGAGAAGGGAAATGAAGGGGAGGAAGAGGGGGATGAGGAGAAGAAAGAAGGGAGACGGAGAGGAGAAGGAGGACTTGAAGGGCAGGGTTTTAATCAGGCAACTTATCCCTGGAGAGTTTTCCGAGAAAAGTGTTTTCCTTTTTTTTATTCAGGGCTTTTGTGAAATGTTGATAAAAAATCCACTCTTTCCATGCGGATTTTCCAGGCGTGCAAACGTCAGAGTCAGCAATAGTCGTTTCTAATGCATTTGTATTTGATATGTCCTCGTTTCGAATTCCCCTGTCATGATTTATCTTGACTTACCGACTCACACTGTAACATTTTTTACAATTCTCCAAGAGTACATTATAAAAAAAAAAAATTGTAACAAATAAATTCCCCAATATCAGGAAGCTATTAATACGCCCGCTGATACAGTGGTATTCACATACGAGACCTTGTGAAACAATGCCAAAAATAATCCTTTGTCCTTCCATGCGGCTCGTTCGTAACACAGACGCTCTGGTATCGACTTCAGGGTAGAGAGAGAGAGAGAGACAGAGACAAACAGACAGAGCAGGGGAGAGACAGACAGACAGACAGACATCATCGCATAAATGTAATGACACACAAGCCCGACAGCTGCTAAACCCAAAACAGACAAGCAGACGGCAGACAGACAGACAGACAGACAATCTTCGCGTGTGAGTGTGAAGCGGGGGGAGGGGGGAGGTGAAGAGGAGGAAGAAGAAGACAGCTGTCTGAAAGCCTGGCTATCTTGTCTTGTTGCCGAGACGAACGAGCGAAGAGGGGCAGGGGCAGTGGTGGGTGTGAGGACCTACCTACCTGCCCGCCCGCCCACCGCCCCACCCGCCCGCCTACCTGCCTGTGACGCCCGTCTGATGTCTCTCTTTTTTATCGCCCTTTGACCGGGGATAAGGATACGAATTCCATCACACTGCGTTTTTTTCTCTCTTTTTTAACTTCCCTTTTCTCTCTCTTTTTATAACTTCCTTTCTTTTTATCTTTTATCTTGTGTTTTAAGTGTTATTTCCTTCTTGCTATTTTCGCGATATGTCCCCAGAGTATTTGAATATTAAATCGTGATTAGTAATTCTCCAAACTTTTTTTTTTTCTTTAAACTCACTGGCTAATCCTCAACAAATGTCAATATATTAAAAGATTAGCGTCATATCGATTATCGACGCACGAATCACTCCCAATCACACCCCTTCCCTCCCCCTCCCGCCCGCCCACCCACTTCCGAATCTAATCTCCAGTTAACGAACTCGTATTCACAGTAAACACCGAATCAATAAACAAAAAAAAGAACTAGACAATCTGATCGCTTTATCTACGTTCAAAACAACAATAAATTCCTCTTCTCTTCTTCTTCCTCTGTTCTCTCTCTCTTTTGTCCTTTTCCGGCTTCGTTTATTCGGTAAAAAGGGGGAGGAGGAGGAAGAGGACCGGATATTCGATGGTTCTTCCTCTTGGATTCTGTCCCGGGATCCGGATTAACGGGGGCGGCACTTCCCTCTTATATATATGTATAGGGAGAGCGGGTTTATTGGGGTTCTCACGGTGTGTGTGTGTGTGTTTTATCTTTTTTCTCTCTCTCTCTCTCTCTCTCTCTCTCTCCCTCTCTCCCTCTCTCTCTCTCTCTCTCTCTCTCTCTCTCTCTCTCTCCCTCTCTCTCTCTCTCTCTCTCTCTCTCTCTCTCTCTCTCTCTCTCTCTCTCTCTCTCTGTCTCTCCCTCTCTCTCTCTCTCCCTCTCTACGTTATTTATTTCTACCTATCTTTATCTATATCTATCCTTCCCTCTCTCACCTATCCTCCTTCCATTTCCTGCCTCCTTCCCCCCTTCCCCTTCCCCTTCCCCTTCCCCTTCCTCGTCCACTTCAGGTCACCCGCGAGGTCGTTCGAGGTCAAGATAAAGCGATAACGTCCGAGATATTTCCCGATGACGTCATTCCGATAAGGGCTTCGGTCTGTTATGTTCCTGTTCCGGTGGGAAAGGGAGGGGGGGGAGGGGGAAGTCTGGCGTCGTGGGAAAGAGGGAACGAGAGAAAGAGGGAAGAGGGAAGGGTTGAGTAATTTGGAGTAAGGAATAAGGTTGATGATTGGGATGACGAAGAATAAATAGAATAGCTGGGAGAACGAAGAATAATTATAATTGCGAATAAGAATTGCAACGATGAAAAATTACTGGAATAACGAATGATGGAATAACGGCGAAATACTAGAATAATTACATTAACGTAGGGAACTTAGATCAGGCAGAATAACGAAGGATAGGAGAGAAAACCGAATAAAAGAGGAAAAGAATAACTCAAGAATATAAATCAGTGCTCAGGGGAATCTAGAATGGCAGATAATAATTCAAGGAAATTCTTATTATCAGGAACAAGACCGAACTATTTCCCTTCCTTACCCCCCCTCCCCCATTCCCCCACACCTTTCCTCCTCCCTCCCCCCCCTTCGGTGACCTCTACCCCTTCCTCAGTTCCCTCCTCCCCCCCTTCCTCCTTCTCCTCGGGGGTCGATTAAGGAGGTGTGTGTGGGGGTGGGGGGGGAGAGGTCACCCTGGACGGATAATTTCTGTACCATCGTGGACAATTGGCTGAACAACAGACAGAGAGAGATACACAGTAGACTTCCCCCCCCCCTACACTTTTCTTTCCCCTTCCACTTCCTTTCCGTCTGTTTACCACCTTCTCTCCCCCTTCTCCGTCCCCGCTTCCCCTCCTTTCCCGGCTGTCTCTCACTTCCCCTCCTCTTCCCCACCCATTCCTTCCCCAACTCCACCTTTCCTCCCCTTTCTCTTCCTCTCTCCTTCCCCTCTCCTTCCCCTCTCCTACTCTTTCTCGTCTGTCTCCTCCTTCGTCTCCTCCTTCCCCTCCCCCTTCCCCTCCCCCTTCCCCTCCCCTTCCCCTCCCTTACTCTTCCCCGTCTGTCTCCCCCTCCTCCCCTCCCCTTCCCCTCCCTTACTCTTCCCCGTCTGTCTCCCCCTCCTCCCCTCCCCTCCTCCCCCCTCCCGTACCCCAGTGCCCTATGGCGTACCGGAACAGCCGTCTCCCGTCTCCGTTTTCTGTTCGTCTGTCGTCGCGTCGGATTTACCTTTTTTGGGAGGAAAGAAAACGGATTAATATTCGTTCGTTTTTTATATAGTTTTTTTTCTGTATTGGTTATTTTGATGTATTGATCTTGATTTTCCCCCCTCTTCTTCATCTTCATCTTTATTCTCGTTCGATTTCATTTGCTTTTATTTTGTGTACTTTCGGCGGGAGCGAGATTGTTGTTCCTTGTATCGGGGTCGGGGAGGACTCGAAATCGCCCAAGGCTCGATCGTTCTTTTGTTTACAGCCGGGACTCTCGGGGGAACAGGGGGAGGGGGGAGGGGAAGTGAAGGGGGAGGGAAGGTAGGAAGAGGTTGACATGGGAGGGACTGGAGGGGGGAGGGGAGTGAGAGGGAGGGAGGAAATAGGAAGAGGTTTTGATAAGGAGTCATCGGAATGTTATAAATGGTATGGTGTAATGTGTTTGTTTGTTGCTAGTTTCTGTGTCGTTTTAATGAAGGACTTTAATCGCATAAAAATGATACATACATTCGTCTTTTTAAACTCTTATGCACAACTTTCTCTCTCTCTCTCTCTCTCTCTCTCTCTCTCTCTCTCTCTCTCTCTCTCTCTCTCTCTCTCTCTCTCTCTCTCTCTCTCTCTCTCCCTCTCCCTCTCCCTCTCCCTCTCCCTCCCTCCCTCCCTCCTTCCACTCTTTCTCTTTGTGTGTGTGTGTGTGTGTGTGTGTGTGTGTGTAACGCCAGTGGGACAGCCGCACCTGTGGGGTTTCATGGCATTTCTGATTTTTTTTTTTTTTTTTTTTGAGAGGCGTCCTTTATTTGGTTTGGTTTGGTACGTGGTTTGTGTTCGTTTTTTTGTTTGTTTGTTTGTCAGGCTTACTATTCTGGTCTTCCTCTCTTTCTGTCATTGTTAGGTGTTAGTACTACTGTTATTGTTATCGCAAGGGGATTGAGGGGAGCCGGCCTTAATAAGGGGTTGAGGAAGGGGCAGCGGAGAGGGGAAGGGGTGTCTCAGAGGTTAAAAGAAGGGGCGGGAATGGGGTAAAAAGTAGGGGAGGAAGGGGGGGGTGAGGGGGATGGAAGGAGGAGGGCCAAGAGGGTTTAGAAAGGGGTGAAGGGAGGGGAGAGGAGAGCTAAAAGGAGGGGTAGTGAATGAGAGAGGAAGGGGTAGAGGAGGGGAAAGGGATAAAGGGGTGAAGAGGAGAG